TATATATATATATATATATATATATATATATACACACATATACAGAGTGGACCATTTTAATTTATCCAGCCAAATATTTCGAAAACTAAGACCGGTAGACAAAAATATTCCAGATAAAAGTTATCGATGGGGGACATAAGAAGGTACTATTGGTTTGACCTTGCGTGGCCCCGCCAAGGTCAGGTCGAGGTCAACTTTGCTTTTTTAAATAGAAACATACATTTTTTTATTACGGAATTTTATTCTGCGTAAAAAAATAAACAACTTTTGTTTGAAAACATTTTTTATCCAAATTTTATTTTCTAAGATATTTACGGAAATATCTATAAAATTATTGGTTTCAATAATTTTTTACTCGAATGCTATTAACTTTAAAAGAAAAATAGCAAGAGATAAAAATTGTCTATTTTCTTCTCATAGAGTTCTGAGATTTTTTTCAGAATTTTTGATTAACTTTTTAGTACTTCAAGAAAATGGAAGGAAATCCAGTACTAAATAGTACATATACAGGGTGTTGAAAAAAAAGGGTCACATATTTTGATAGCAGGTAGTATTGATCAAAACAAGAAGAAAAGGTGTAATTAACATGGGTTCTAAGACTAATATCTTCTAAGCTATTTTGTTATTTGAGTTCTTTGTCATTTTCTTATTAGTCGTGTCATCTTTAGAATGTAATGAACAAAGGAGTAGGGGAGAGTGGGGTACAATGGGGATATCTTTTTTCTAGGTGCCTTAAAAAATAAAAAATTAACAAAGAGAGATAAAGAAACAATTTTTATTTTAATATGAAATGTAATCATTTATCTTCCATAAAAAAACTGAAGTAAAGAAACTGAATGTATGATAACAAAATAAAAACTCTTTTTTTACAAAAAACAAAAAATTTTAATGCTGACTCAGCATTAGAGGAGGTGCTCTATGTGATTGCCATTCACTCTCACGCATGTTTCAGCCCTACGTCTTAGAGAATCACGCACTCTTTCAAATACACCTGGCTGGTCAGATATCCCCATTGTACCCCACTCTCCCCTACTCCTTTGTTCATTACATTCTAAAGATGACACGACTAATAAGAAAATGACAAA